GATGAACAGTGGCCGATGAGATCTCCTCTCCTTCCTCATGTCCACTATCATCTCCTTCGTCTTGTCTGTGTTGAGGCTGAGATTATTGTCCTTGCACCATGACACCAGACCGGCCACCTCCCTCCTGTAGGCTGCTTCGTCCCCGCCAGTGATGCAACCTATCACTGCGGTGTCATCTGCAAACTTTAGGATGAAAATTCAACTGTTCAGCTACTGTGTCAACTGTGTCTTTCATTGTGTGTCCTTGTGTGTGCCCCTAATGAACCAACTCTGGTGTCCCTGTGTGAGGCCTCCATGACCCACATCAGAGAGTAAACAGCAGATCTGGGTCAGAGAAGGTTAAAACTGGACGACTCTTTGTTCGCACTCTTTTGTTTCCTGGTTTTCATCTGGAAGGTTTTATCACCTCCTTCCAAAAACCACACAGCTTTGTCTGTGAGAACTCATGAAGTAAGAATAATCATTTTTTGTATCTCTTTTCTCTTGTTTATATATTTTATTTCATATATATCATTGTTTAGTTTAATATATTTTGCATTCCATGAAACGCCTGAAGTGTGGTGTATATATTTAAACCACAGTCAGATTAATAACAAAAATCTGATTGTGTTGATAATGATATTTGAAATTTAGAATATATTTTAAACCCGACTACAGAGAAAAACAGTGCACTCCATTTTCTCTGATCCATAAATATGAACATATCAATCAACCAAGCACACAGTTTACAGTAAAATGTTTTCACTGATAAACTGAACATATTTTTGTTATACATTTAGAAATTTGCATGTTAATATTTTATTTTTTTATTGAAACAAAGTAACACATTAACAAAACAGTACCAAACATGGGAGACAAGACAACAGTTACATGACATTACAGAAGGATATAGTGTGTTTAACGAGGTTGTAGTGTGTGAAGTGTGGGTATTTCCAACTTATGCAGTCTATGAAATGCAAGAAAGGGAAAAGGAGGGGAAGTAAATAAATAAATAAATTACCAATAATAATGATGATAAAATCAGCTTGTTCCATTCTAGAGGTTGGTGGGAATGTGCGTGGCCTCAGCCCCAGGTGTTTGATTCAAGTTGAAATGTATTAAAAATGGTTCCATGTGTCATAAAAAGCCGATAAACTGTTCTTGTGAGTGGATGTCATTTTCTCTAATGCACCGTATTCTGTCAGACGGTTGGTCCAGTGGTTTATGTGTAGTGATTTATTTGATTTCCAATTTTGAAAGATTGTTTTCTTGGCAATAGCTAGAGAAATGAGGAGTGGGTTTTTATATTTAATTGGTAGGTGGTCAATTTCTAGGATATTACCGAGTAAGCAAAGTGATGGAGAAGGAGGGATTCTACAACCCAAGATGGTGGAGAGTTTCTCTGTCACTGCTATCCAGAAGGAATAAACTGGTTGGCAGGTCCAAGTAGCATGAAAGTACCGGTCGGTACAATCTAGAGTGCATTGTGAGCAGATGTCTGTGTCGGTAAAACCTGTTTTGAACATTTTACTTTCTGTAATATGGGTCATATAGATGGTCTTGTATTGTATAAGTTGTAAGTTTACATTGCTGGTCATAGAAAAGATGTTATTGCAAATTTCTGTCCAGAAGTCGGAGTTGAGGGGGAGAGTTAAATCATTTTCCCATTTGAGTTTTGGTACTGTTATTGTTGAATCTGTATTTGATATGAGTTTATATAGTTTGGATATTATTTTCTTGGAGGATGTAATTTTCATAATTTCTTCAATTTGGAGGGTTGTAGTGGGTTATTGGTTACACTAATCTTTGATTTAATTATGGATTTTAGCTGATTATACTGGAGGAACTGTTCTCTCTGAACTCTTTACTTCTGGAGCAGTGTATTAAATGATATGAACTGGTGGGGCCACAGGTCTGGCACCATTTAGTGTTTCCAGACCTGTGGCCCCACATCAATGCCATAGGATTATCACTCCACTTACGGCCCCTAATTTTGCTGCTGCATTTCTGGCCTCTGGACTTCATTTCTCTGAAATCCTTCTGAATCCTTTTGACTAAATATTGGAGCTGATTTGCTGAGTAGTAATATTAGAAGTTTGGTGCTTCTAGACCACCTAGCGATTCCTTCTTTTGGAGTGTAGATAGAGAAATTTGGGGTTTCTTGTTTTTCCAATAAGCATGTTAATATTTCTATAACATTGTATATTACATGTTACTGTATTTCTCTTCCATTATATGACAGACAAATACTACAATGTTATAATTATGGTAACAAGATCTGGTCACTGTTAATAACCACAGGTGCACGTTATAATTAGGGTTCCAGAATAGAATCCCCACCTCACCCTGCACCCCTATTATTGTACAGCTCAGCATTATTTACACTTTGACTAACGTGTTGATGAACTGTTCCTGTCATTGTGGGTTTGTAACTTGATGGGGTCAGATGGAAATATGTTGCTTGGTTCCATGAATTAACATTTACATTTAGAAACATCCTGATGGAGCTGTCGATAAAAATGTTGTTCTCTGAAGCTTCAGCTGTAAGGAACTCTCCTACAATCATAGTACTTTGAGTCTGAAATATTACTTCAACACAAAGCATTTAGTATTGTTGTCTGAGGTTTCAGCTAGCACTACTCTTGCTGCTAGCATCTTGCCTCATTGTGACCATAAGATGGCGCCACCATGGATGTATCTGATTTCAACAGATCATGCAAATGAGCATGATAAGAATACTGTACTTGGGAATGATGAACCAATTTGGATGTGGAAAACAGGCGTATAAGGATCAGAATGGGATAACTCCTGATGAAAAAATGAAAAGATATGAGATTCAACAGTGTTATTTGAATCTGCAAAAACAGAACGAGAACCAGGAAATTAGACTGATGCTGCCAAAAGAGCCTGAAGATGTTGTACAAGCACCCTCTGTAGGACCCAGGCATCGTGAGGGGCAGAGACATTAGACCAAGGAGAAAAAACCCTAGAGGAAGGTTAAGTCTGTTTGCTGTTGCTCTGTCCTATTGCTAAGAAAAGCCAAATAAAATCCCTTTGATCTGCGGGGATGTTGGTCAGTCCTATTTCCACTGGAAACTGAAATAAAATCCTTTAATGTTGTTATAAAACCAGAAATTATGGTGGCTAACTTTCTGCCAAGCCTAAAACGTGTAAGGTGAAAATCTAATATATAAGTGCGAAATCCTTTAAAGAATGTAATTACATGTCATAAAAATCGACGTCTTGGATCTAGACCAGGGGTGTCAAACTCAATGGCACATGGGGCCAAAACTCAAAGCATAAAAATTTATTGAACAGACTAAAACTAAACGTATATTGAACATAAATATCAATCTAAACAGACAGGATACAATATTATTCCACATAAATAAACTTGAACTTAAAATCACCAACCGTATTTCTGCTAAGGCTTAGTACATTAACAAACACCTGCTTTTTGTCTGGACACCAGACGTCGCACACTTTCATCATGCAGCTCTTCAAAAACTCTCCCTCAGTAAATGTCCAGGCTCATTTTCTCCTCTGTCCCAATAAAACTTGCTTTCACAGCAGCTTCACTGTGTGATTTAGCTTTGGTGAAAACGTCTGCTGTGATGTCAGATTCCTCTTCAACTCCTCTACCTTCTGTAGCTTCTGCTCTGCATCACGTTTTTCAGCTTGTCCTGATGTTTTGTCTCGTAGTGCCGTCTTAGGTTATATTCCTTAATTACAGCCACATTAGCTCCACAAATAAGACAGGACACCCTTCTAACTCTCTGAAATCCTCCATAGCCCAGACTCATTTCATTTCAGCCCATGGATTGGTCTTCCTGGCCTACGAAGGCAAGGACAACTAGGCGTTCTTTGGCCCCTGAGTTGTTACACAGCTATAGACATTGACTGGTCACTCAGCCAATGTGCCCCCAAGATTATTTTTGTTTAGGCTACAGACATGTTACCAGCCTACATATGCAGGCCACTTGTACAAACCCTGATGTGGGCTTCATGCTGAAACGCATTGGTCTTCTCATTAAAGTTCCTTAAAACACTGCAGGTGTTGCTGAACCTTTTCCAGTTAGTTTTTTCCTTATCTGTGCACCTTGACAGTGGGTGAAGTTGTACCAGAACTTTTTTCTGTATTTGGCCACTGGTAATCGCAGATACTTAGGATGTATTGTTCAAATATCTTAGAATTTTGTCTCACTGATGTTATGTGAGAACATCAGTCTGGCAAAAGTATGGCCAGCTGGCCCCTAGAAAAGAGATCTATGCAGCCAAACACCTTGAATCTTTAAAAAGTAACCCAGGAGAAGTGAGTTGACAGAAACAGAGCAAACATAACACTTTTGGGTGAGTTTATTTTCAGGATGATTTTATCTGAGTACGTTAGTTCTGTAATACTCCAGCTGATGACAAATTCAATGATTTAGTGTCTTTGTTTTAAGATTATTCACAGAGCTCCGAGGAATTAGCTAAAGCTAGCATTAGCTGTTAGCAACCCAGCTGCAACAAGCAGGACAAACCCACTGTGACGTGACCCATTGGTTTTCTGAACTCAAGTCCGGCCATTGCCATATTGGTAATGCTTCACTCCACCTGCTAGGTGCAATCCAAAAATGGACAAAGAAGCGGAACGTGAGTGGAGCTGAGATGGGCTGAATGGGCAGAATAAAGCTAGCCACCAGTGGCAGGACCCTCCTGCTTGTAACTCACAGTGGCCATGCCCATAGTTAATGCGTAACTTTTAGTGTCAATATAATTTAAATGGGCCAGTTATAAAAAAAAATCACCGTACGTACAGTTGTCATGGAAGAGTGTAAACCAGAGGGTAGATATCCTCAGAGTTAGGAAATCCAGGTGTTTTGTGACCTGGTTAACTGAATCTAAAATAAAATTGAGACAACGTCATGTCCAATTTTTTCACAGTGACAAGTTTGAAAAATGGTTCAGAAAAATGACACAAATCAGTCCCAACAGAAGGTCAAGTGTCGAGTACGACAGGAAGACAGTGAAATATGAAGAACTTTCCAGAAATGTTAATATCTTGGATCAGACATTGAGCAGTTTGTTTCTGTGCAGATGTCAGAGGATCAGCAATCAGACTGGGTTATTTAGAGGATGATCGTGAACGTGGTTAGAGGTCAAAGGGCACAGGACAGCTAATGTCTCTGTGTTTGCTAAGCAACTAATTCATCTGCTCTATGTGAGCTAGCACCTCAGTGCATTTCTACAGCTACAGTATGATTGAGCCATATCACACACAGCTGAGTTTTGTTAAAACAAACAAACAAAAAAACTTGTTCTCAGTTAAGGAACCTGAACAGGGGCAGCTTTGTCTGCTCAAACACAAACCTCATTCTGGTGGAGCCTTGTGAGTACAAATAAAACATTTCCTTTATGACTGCATTGATCATATTGACCATAAGTGACTGAGAGAAATCCTAGTACATCAAGTGGTATTAACACTGGATTCTTCACAATTACAGTTTGTAGTGTGAGGCTGCACAACCCAAAGTTTATTTGCTGTTGGACATGAAAATTTAAATGGAGCTTAAATAAAGCACCACCTCCACCGGTTGTCACAGTGAAGTAAAAGTCCCTTGTGAATTATGGGGCCTGACATCCCACTAGAAATATGGATACATGACATCACACTATACAGTAAATCGCAGGTACAACACCCCTTCATCATGTCCTGAGGGCTCGTTTTGTGAAAATGATTACAATTTGGAGTACTTGACATCCGGCATCATGAGGACATTATGTCATGCCATGAGAACTACAGGGACATGATGTCCTCTGACGTTATGGGAACATGATGTCATACAGGATCACAGGTGTGACACCTCATCAGTATTACAAGGATGTAACAACTTGCTGAGATGATTACAGGGACCACACTGTGAGAGTTTCTACAGGACTAAGGGTACTTTCTGTCCAGACATCCTGTCTGAGACATAAACACCTTGAGTATCAGTGAATGGGCCATCAGAAATACCTGAAAACTACCAAAAGTGTCTGGTGTTTTGCAGCTCCACTCATCCTGTTGAGTGTGGCTGGATGTGACCATCCTTCCTGCTCCTTGGGGACATCCTCAGCTGTTGGAGGGCTGCCCCGGTTTCAGTCGGACGGCCCAGGAGTTGGTGGACACAGTGTCGCCCCGTCGATGGACACGACAGGTGTAAACACCCTCGTTGAACTCGTTGGCAACTAGGCGAAGGTCTCGGTCCTTCATGATGATGTAGCCAGGGATGGAAGTCACAATCTGCTCGCCATCTTTGTACCAGCTGAAGAAATCAGCAAACAGGACTGATGTGAATCTTATTTTTGGTTTTTAGTCAAGCAGTTACCACAAATGCTGATTTACTGAGCTCAGGCCTTTACATTTGATCTCCACTACAGGTGAGACTCAAACTGTAAATAAATACTGTTGTAATCAATGATTCTGTCCTTAAACTGACATTTATTTCAGCTCATTATCCGTGTATTGTTCTTTACTGGGGTTCCGTCTGTGTCAACTGGAGTCCATGAGTTCATTAACTGATTAGTCAATAAATAAAAACTATGTATTTATTTTAATAATCAATAAAAAAATGTATTTTTAAGCACAACTTTTACAATCTGAGATCCTCAAATGTTGCAGACCTTATCCATTTGTTATGAAGGTACTTTTTTGTGACTTTGAACAAAACCATGATCTTAGACTTTGTTTCTGTTTGTGGCATTTTATAGACAAAACAATTGACTGAGAATATGATCAGTAGATTAATTGATAAAGTTCCAGCTCTACACCCGCACAGCTCAGTGGTGAATCATAAAAAGTACCGATCAGCCAACCTGACTTTGGGTGGAGAGCGAAGGTTTCTGGTTCCACAGCGGAAACCCACCACCTTCCCCCGAGGAACCATCTTGATCTTGACATTAGCTGGAGACGGTGTTGGCGTGGTAACCGCTTCCAGAGGCTCTATGGCGGGAACGTGATACAGACAGGAAAGGGGCGTCACAACGGAGACAAAGGGACAAAGCTCAGGGAGAGAATCAGGTTCCTGCAGCACAGAGAGCAAGTCCTCACTGACCAGCCCGTGTTTAGTTTCTGAATACCAGAGCAGTGGGGACTGCTGTTTCCTGCCTACGTTAAACCGTACTCATTTCCTGTTTTCTGTACCTGCACTGCGTTGTGCTTGCTTCCAGATTGTTTAGGAATTAAACTCACTATTTCCTAGGTCTATCTGAATTTTTGAGTGACAACATACGCTTGCACCACTTAAAGCACTTGTGTTGCAGAAGTTCTTGCTAACTACCAAATTTAACTTGCTACTTTAGGTCGGCTAGTTTAGAAGCTAGCTAAGCTAGTAGCTTAATCGAGAGCAATGGCTTCCCCCTCTTCCTCTCCTCCTTTCTCTTGCTCGGAGTGTCGCATGTTCAGTTATTCCTCTGCCTCCTTTAGCGATAATGGTACTTGTAATAAATGTCAGATGCTAGCAGCATTGGAGGCGAGGCTCACAGACTTAGAAGCGCGGCTCCACACCATGGAGAATAGGCCAGCTAGCTATGCCCATGTAGCCGGTGTGGAGCCTCCTAGACGTAGCTTAGCCCAAG